ATTTTCTGATGTTTGCAAATGTTGTATATTCCCTTTAAGCATCCAAACAATTAGCATTTTTTAAATAGTAAAAAAGAAAAAGTAAAAGTAAAAAATATCAATGGAACCCCTGATTATTTTTAATTGTATAATAGCAATTAAAGAGGGAAATGATTTAACAAGTAATTTAGTATTTAAAGTTATTGTCCAAGGTTTACATGCAAATCTCCTATTTAATATGTCATGTACATGTACATAATCTGGGGGAAGTGTGCATACTTTGTGCATGTGTAATTCCGTTACCGTAATTCCGTTACCGTTTCGTAATTCCGTTACCACTTGGAAAAATGCCAAGAAATTACTATTTTAAAGTTTTTATTTTTCATTTATGTTTATAGTAGGGTCTTTTCTCAACATACATGATTTGTAGAAAAAAAACAAGAACATTTGTGAAATAAGTAACTTTTGCCATTTTTTCGGTAACGGAATTACGTGCTAATTTTGACATTTTTAAATGAAGGCCTACACTATATATATATATATATTTATATTTTTAGATTTTTTTTTAATGACCCTGAGTAATGTTAGTAACTTGTAACATCATAAAATAAATCAAATCTTTTCCCTATAATTCAGAAAGTAATACATACACAAAATTTTATTTTTTTACCAAATCTGAACGTTTTTAATCATAAAATGCAAAAATCACTGTTTTTACCAGAAATATGTATTTTTTTTTAATTTCGTTTTTTGAACTGAATTCCCCATTTAATTGAGGTCTGGAAAAAGTACAAAAAAGGTTTAATATGTAAATATTTATTTTTGACATTTTTTGCTCTCCCATGGAGAATTGCCCATTTACACGCACTTCCAGTTTTTGTTAATGCTAACAACTCTTGATCGCCAAGGCGTTTGAAATTTTAATCAATTAAATTTAGTATTTCTTGAGTTGTTGCCCCCAAAACGAGTTCGTTCTGTATTTCAAAATTTCATATTCCTCCAGTGATTTGTCATGATGACCGTGTTACATTATGAGATTTAATTTCATGAGAAACCATCAAACAATAAAAAAGAAAATACCCGAAACAATTATAGTATTTTAAACGTGAAAACTACAAACCAAATGAAAAATAAAAAGTCAACGTCCATGGAAAAATTATAATTAATACACTCGTTTGAACAATACCCGAGCTCACCAGGCCAAGCTATATTGAGCATGGGCGGATCCAGAACACAAGGGGGGGGGGGCAAAAACAATTTTGGTACCCCCAAAGTGGGTCAAAAAATTACAACATGCCCTATCTGAGTTTAGGGGTGTAGACAACATAATGCCATTACTGCTTATAGCATTAGCACATACGAGCCAAGGGGCGTAGAAAACATGCCATTATGCGTATCACTCGGTAGCACCACCGCATATGAGCCAAAGGGCTTGGAAAACTACCATTACTGCGTATCACTCGATGACATTAGCACATACGAGCCAAGGGGCTTGAAAACATGCCATTACTGCGTATCACTCGATAGCATAAGTGCATACAAGCCAAGGGGCTTAAAAAACATGCCATTACTGCGTATCACTCGGTAGCATTAGCGCATACAAGCCAAGGGGCTTAAAAACATGCCATTACTGTGTATCACTCGATAGCATTAGCGCATACGAGCCAAGGGGCTAAAAAAATATGCCATTTCTGCGTATCACCGGATAGCATTAGCGCATACGAGCCACGGGGCTTGAAAACATGCCATTACTGCGTATCACTCTAAAGCACTTGCGCATTCCAGGAGCCAAGGGGGGGGGGGGGGGGGGGGGGGGGTGTGAAAAAAAACATGCCATATCTGCGTTTCCCTCTACAGCAAAACAAGGTTGGTCGCTTGCGGCAAACTTTCTTCAAGAACACTAGTTGCGTCCGGGCCAATATAAAAAGCCTGTCTTTTGTATGAATTTGATTTATTGATTATTGCCTATATCAAGAAAATCGATGGACCGAGAAAGTTAATAAAAATATATATATAGCGCAAAATCACATTTAAAGCACTGCATTGTTTTAGATATTATATTATTAATTGTTATTTTTGGGTTATTCCTTTGATATTCAAGAAAAGTATATTTCCCTTTATGTTCAAGAAAAATATAAAATATAATTTCAAGCAATAATTTGACATAATTAGATACAACAGGTGTTTCTGGAGTTATTATATTCTAGTCCTGAAACGAATGTACTGTTTTTGTAGACACAGGTTTTTTCTTCCGTGGCGAGAATTTTATTTATTTATTTATTTATTTATTTATTTATTTTACTTTTTGTGGTGGCGACCACTATTTGTGTAGCGCGCCCTCTTTTGAAAGAAAATTGGCATGTCAAGCACACCGGCCGGAGTGTATGTCGCCCTCGCATTGCATGAGACTCAAGCAGTGAAATGTGTTTGGCGCCCTCAATATTGAGGGCGCCAAACACGTTTTTGTCGATTTGTAAACAAACGTTCGTACTTCCAGCATGACCAGTACCGGGGCTTAATTCGTACTACTAATCAACTAATTTTTGCCATTTTTTGGTGTTATAAACTCGGCCCAAAATGCTGATGTTTAGTGATTTCATTTTAATGACATGCCATGGAAAATTTCTGCATGTGGGAAGATCGCCAGATCAAATGACTGAAATCACTGGACAGCTAGGCATGTCCGACCAAGGTGGCTGTTGTTACAACTTATACACAGCAGCTGTATTTGTAACCCGATTGTTAACTGCTACATGCTATTGCTATATAGCTATGTTGAGCGCAATTTGAGTCCCCCGCGCAAGTTTAAACCTGCGCGCGCAAGTTTAAACCTACGTGCACGCAAGTTTAAACTTGCGCTCGCATTAATTTTCTTGCTACAAATTGCGCGCGCAAGTTTAAACTTGCGTAGGGGACTGAAATTGCATTCGACAGCTATATCGTTACTGTATTGCAAAGTCACCGTCCAACTAGCAGCTGGGCAGTGACTAGTCCAGGGAACTTGGACCCAACACGCCTTTTTAACATTGGGTTAACTTTTTTTTGTTTTTTACATGGTTAACTGGCTATTGCCAGACTAGGAGTTTGCCCCACTATCTTGACTATGTGCCAATGCAGTGCAAAGTGCAAAAATGATGATAAGACTTAAATCTGGGACTGAAAAATATTTCCAATTTTGTTAGGAAAAATTAAAAAATTTCCTTCACTCTCCATAACTTTGTACACAACCGCTGAAGTAGCGTCAGGTTGCAACATTCTTTCCGAAATGAAGTCCGAGAAACCATTTGGTTGGTTACATGTACATGGTAATCTGGTTCCAACAGCCAAAAATTCTGACGTTGAATACTATACTAAGGTCAGGGAACCAGATGCATAAGATGGTCGTGTATTGATAGCTGTTGGTTAACGACTGCTGTGATGGTAGCCCTATGTGCCTGGGATATTGCTATGCTGTATCGTAGCCACACCTCCAACCTAAAAGGTCAGCTGATTCTTTTCAGGTTGTCTTCTATGACCTCTCAGGTTTTGCGCCCCGGGCTTATTAGGTAATCTTACCTCAATGTACAGAGTTGACTGATGTCAGCATTCAGATGACCCCAAAGCTGTGACATCTTGTGATGCAAATCATCTTGTCGCTGCAGCCGGTACCAGTAGCGATGCGAAGGATGTAAAGTTCCAATGACCACGCTCCGGCCCAGGCATGTCGTCACAGCTGTCTGAGCAGACTCTGCTGGGGCCTGTCCCGGGCCCAGGGAGGAATCTATTCCCATTCAGTGGCCTCTCCATTCCTGGAGTCAATGCTTTCGAGTCCAGAGATGATTTGTAGGCTTTCTGTAGCGCAAAATAATATACACTAACCAAGCTGGCGCAGAAGACTCACCAAGCACTAAATCCTCAGCGCGCGCGACGGAGGTACTGAAAATTGGCCAGATTGCGTGGGTGAATTACTACACAGCCGCAGATCGAGTGCTTGTTCATGTTTGTATGTGCATAATGGTAGTCTGGTTCCCAATCCAACAGATTCTGACCATTTGTCACCAGTTGTATTTCTGACGAATTCATTTCATGAAGGGGGAATTTATTTGCTTATTTCTAATATTATACACAACTCACATTTGTATGTCTGCATGTTTGCATGCTTCGACTCCATTCAGTAGTGCCCCTGTTGACTACATGCGATTCTGCATAATGTATTGATATAATTAAAGCGGGGCGAGTTTATTGAGTAGTTTCAAATCTTCAAAGAGCTGACATACCAACGAATAAGCAAAAATCCTGTTTCGAGTTATTCACATTTGAAGTTGGACATTTTTCTGGGCGTCGTATTTCACCCTTAATATTTTGATAATAACCCTTTTGGTGTATATTCGAAATGAAATAGGAAACGTAGTATCCATCAGGTTACTTATTTAATCAGAGAAATTGTGCAATATGATTTTATTTGATCGTTAATGTATTCGTCAGTTTGTCAAATTGTAACATTTCTAAAAGCCAGTTGTTCTTCACACTGTATAGCTATTCGTCAGTTTATCAGATCACGCGTGCATGCGTGCACAATCTAACAAACTGACAAATAACTTTGGAATAATCGTTGAAATTCCGTATTGCATGTCAAATTATGGATCAGTTATTGTGTCTGATTCGCCACAGGAGGGGGTCCGAATCTCAAAATCCAGACAAAAATTAAGAATTTTGGCATAAATACTTAAAAGAGAATCCTTTATACACTGTATACCAAAAAACCCCAAAATCTAAAAATTGCCAAAATGGTAGATTTGCCAGTGTGTCGGCTCTGCAACAAAATTACAGACAACTGCTTTCCTGTTCCTTTGATTGGACTACTATTTGTTTTCAGATATAGCGCCCTATAATGCTCTGAATTTATGAAGCAGTTGGCTTTCTGCACTCGTACCCTCTGCCTTGCTTGCAAACAGAGCAGGAACATTGATCGCTATAACAGAAATCAGTGGCTAAAATAGACATGATGGCCCTACACACATGTACATGTAAGCTCGGTTCCATTTCTGGTTTGGCTTTATCATTACAAATGTGTTAATTTTCCAATAATAGTTTTCAAAAATCACTTGCTTGAACAATTTTACATAAAAGAACTAGGCATCCCCTGTACGTTTCAAGTGATTTGTTTTTTCAGCTAAATTGAAAAATATATGAATGTGTTTTATGGTTCTGTAGGCATCCTCCCTGAAAGTTTAAAGCAATTTGAGGACGACAGGATGCATCTCTTTCATATACTGTAAATATCTGAGAAATGGTCTCTACAGTGGATCAACATACAAATGCCTTTTATTCCGTCCAGTTCATTTGAACATTGGTCTGCAAATAATAAAAGAAACTAATATTATATGGGGGTACCGTTTATTGAGTCATGATTAGAAGATTATTTTATACACAAGGCTGGCGTTTCAATTTTTACAATCTGTTCACAGTGAAAATGATTACTGGCTGGCTCAGAGACATGAACAAATAAACTTTTATAACTTGTACGTCTCGTCTGACAAATTTCATCCTCCTACATGTCAAGCACCTGGGTTTTCTCTCAAATTCAATTTTCAATTCTCCATAATTTTACGGAATAATTTTAATCTACTTGTATTTACATCAAATATACACGTGTACAATTTTCCCATGTACTCTCATAACAATCGCTCCTAGGTGTATAAATGTCTAGCTTGTATGTTTGTAAGTTTTACCAAACCCCAAACTTTTTGTGATTATTTTTGGATGCCTTCAGTAGTCTTGGTTCAAAATGCTTGTGATCGTGCATAGTGCGCCGTCTAACGACACAATAATTAGACTCTCACTAACGTCTTGCAAATTTTGTAGTAGTGGTCTTAAGTTTTCTTTATTTTCTTCCAAAGCTTTTCTAGGAAAGCAATCAGCAATCAGGATATGGTTTAAAGTCAGTCAGGCGCGTCAGTCACATTAAAATAAATATATGCGCTACGCGTAGAAATTCCATTGTGAATTTTGGTGATCAAGAATCACTAATTAGATATGCAACGCAGTGATACTCGCGTACGACTACCAGTATCAAATTGAAAGTCGCCATTTTGTTCAACAATATTAATATTTACACCAACAGTCTCATTTACAAAATGTACATGAAACGGCCTTGCTCCAATTCCTATGAATTCCCAAGACGTTAGTTCTTGGGAAATATATTTTCCAGGGTCAGTGTCTACCAGAAGGTCTTTGAGACTTTGACATAATTTACAAATTACCTGGAAGTACGCTGACAATAGACGTGGCCGTACATGTAAAAGCTAGGCTCCTAAACAGTCTGGCGCCTGGTGCCATGTTAAAACTTAACATATTGCAAACAACACATTATCAGGGTACAAGTCCAAGATGGTTGCTTGATGGGAAATAGTCCACAGAAGCACGGTAGATGTTAAGGTAAAGGGGCAAGTGACTCGATACCAAACGTCGCCTCAAAATGTTTCACATACTTCTCACAATGTTCACCTACAGAAAATAAGAAATGGTGAAAAAGAAAACAAAACACGACATTAAATTTAAGCTGTAATCATGATGCCATTTCAATTCTGACGAGAATCTGCTTTAAAAAATGGGTACATCTGTTAATTGATTTAGAAAGGATTTTGTTTAAAAGACCCATGACATGAATTTTACTTGAGAACATATTTTGTGCAACTCTCAATTGCTTTTAAATGTATGAAAACTATTTGACTTCCTTAATTTCATCAGGAAGTGCACAGTTTTAAGCTTCACCATTTTCCACACGTTTTATGACAATTGAGGGCGTGTTTCTGTGGTTTCATTCAGGAACACACTGTTAAGAGTTTTTAATTCAAATTGTGAACCCAATATTTACTCAATGAAAAAAGAATATGAGCAAGAAAACTTTGCTCTTTGGTGATTTATTGTTGTTTCAGCACACGACAGTAAGCCAAAGAAAAGAATCTTCACGACAGCAAATTATCCAAAATTCTGGCAAATGTTGGTGCCATTACATTAAGGTCTCCACCTTAAATGACATCAAGCTTTGCATTATGCAAAAAAAAAAACCAAAACATACTAAACTGTTTTTAAACATAGCAAAACGAAAATGAAATTGAGGTTAAATGTGACAGAATAGTGCATTTTCAGGGATTGCATTTAAAGAAATACATTACACTGCCTTTAAACATTTAAATGTCGCATCTAAATTTAGACATTTTGTACCTTTAACCCTTGCGTCCTTGCTGTCTTGCACTTACCTGGCATAAACTGAGGATATCCCCTGAGTTTGATGTTCCTCTGCTCAAAGAACTTGAAGACTGTGTAGAAGAGCATGCTGTCTGCTGTGTTCAGCGCGGCATCAAGGAACTTCCTAGCTGAGGCACTATCGGCACCCCCGACACTACGGAGAAACCTCAGTGCGGCAAGCAGCTGGTTTTTAGACAGAAGCACTTCAACTATCTCTTCGTTTGCTGTTGACACCCTCTGTTATTTTCCACCCAAAAAAGAGAAAAACATATCACGTTAAAACACTTACCATACAAAATTCTTATTAAATACTCACAAAGAGGTTTTAAGCAATTTTTTTTCCAACGGAAATATGTAGAGCTCTGCCACTATTTCCTTAATGCTTTTCATGAATTCACAATGTGGATATTTGTCATCCGCAAAGTTTTGAGTGGACTTTTAAGTCCAATATGTTATGTAAGCTGTGTAAAATCCTGCATGTTGTGAAAAGGGCTGCGGTTGGGATTGGAATCATTTGCATGGCTATCAGTCATCATGGCGAGACATCAGTTGAATGCTCAAGGGCAAATGATTCCAATCCCAAACCACATCGGCCTTTTGTCTCAGCATGCAGGAATTTACACAGCTTACATAACACAGCACTGAAATTGAATACGGCAAGGAACTTGGTCACAGTGTCCAAAAATGTTGTTGTGATCAATTGTCAATTGTGTAGTGATACATGACTAAAATTAAATGAAACTCATAGGGGTTTTAGGCCAAGGATAATGAGTATCTGCGTAGTCCAAATGGAATCAATACCCATGGAATCAAGATTGCTGAGAAGTGGTTATAACTTCAGGGACAACCTTCCGAGTAAACCCCCAGTCATACCTTGAGCATATCCAGTGCTAGTTGATGTGCCGGTGGGTAACAGCTCTCTAATGACAGCAGTAGGCAAGCAATGGGCTTAGAGTCACTTAAGACGTGATATTGCAGGAATTGATGCAGTTGATAGAAACAGTTGTGATGGACCAAGGTATTGATGACCAACTCGTACAGGAAATGCTGTTTAGAAAATATCTTCAATAAACTAAAGATCTACGGAGTGACAGTAGTTATTGGTGTTACCGTGACCGCAAACCAAAACAACACTGATACTCCACCATGCAAAGCAAAAAAATCTTATATCTTCAATAAAGTTGAAGCTTATTTTGCTGTTCAGTATTCAATCATTCTTTGTTCTTGTTTTGATTATTCAAAGGCTGAATTTACCGCAAACATTAGTATTCACAAATTATTTGACATCATGATGTCACCATATTTGATACACGCAGCACAAATGGACTTCTCCCCCCCCCCAAGAAAACCATCAAAACAACAACGTCATTTCCAAACAACAAACACAAGTTGCCCATGATTCACATGATAGTTAACAAAAATGACAGACTACTCAAAAAAGGTAAATATTCTGAAGAGAACTGCTTCTTTCCTATAGTTGTCATCCATCTGTGTATTATGCACTACGGTTCTGACATGGATATTTCAAATACCAAAGTTGCTTTGACATATTTTTTGGTGCATGCCTTAGTGTCCTTACCTGAACAGGGATTTGATAATGGTTGAGTGACCTGATGTATTCCACCAGCACTGCTACAACAAACTTATACTTGATGTCTTTGCGTTCAGCAACGGGTGTCAATACATGCGTGTACATGTCCGATTGGTCGATGACAATCTTTCTGATGATTGGGGGTCTAGCTGCGGCTGCTTTAGGAGTTCCACCGCCTTCAGGGTTCTGTCAACAAAAGAGAAGTTCTGAGAATCCTCATCAAGGAAGGCTCGATACTTACTATCTCACTATGTTCACTTTGATAACACAACACGGTACACAGAAGAATGTTCATTCCTTCAGCCACGCTTACAAGCTACTTTGGTACAAGTTCAACTGTATTACCTGGGCTGCCAACTGTTCGTCTTCAAGGAAGTTGCGATAGACCTGGTTGAGCTTGTCAAACATCCGAGCAATAATCGCTAGGCTACACTGTTGCCCCGGCAATAAGACTGGAAAATATCACAATATGGATTTTGACAGCACTAAACTTAAAAGCAACATTGCTGTCGTGTCAGGAAAACCCTCACCTTTGGTTCGGGTAATTATCAGCATCCATACTCCAATTGGTTATAAACATAGCGTATAAACCTTCAAAGCGAACATTTATTCCCTTAATAAATTGAGGAGATATGCTTTATTTATTCCATACATTTCCAAGGCAGAAATATTTAACTTTCAATCATTTAATCAAGTGAATGCTAATAAATCTACAAAAGAATTAAGTGATAATTTGAACTACAACACAACAATATGCAGGCATGCAACTAGGAATTTTTATAAAAAAAAAAGGAAACTCCAAAGACGACAATACTTTGCACAGTGTTTTTTCAATTTGTAATGACATTCGTGAGAAGTAAAAAAAAATGAGCAAATCAGTGGATCCGAGGAAAAGTTGCATGCTTGAATGTGGCAAAGAACAACCGATGGTTTCTCTAATCACTTACCTTGCTTGCAAACAAACAAGATCACCTTTTTGCTCTCCTTCCTCAAAAGTAGGAAGTCGATCAGACGGCACTGCAAAGCAAGCAAGACAATTTTAAGAGCAACTACAGATCATCATATTACTTTAACCAGTTCGTGCTGGAGGCCGTTCACACACGCAAAGCTTTGCAGTATTTGGAATGGATGACCGATAACATCATGCAGGGAGCGAAGCCAGAAATATGAGTGTGCTGCCCGAGCATGATGGCTTCAACCTGCCTGACCTAAGGTCGAGTGAAAAGTAATACCACGCCTTGTTCCTTTCTTGTTAAAACAATCCTGGCGTGAAAAAATGTACATATCTGGTTTGCAAACACAATTTCAAGAAAACAAACTTGTTCAAAAATGTAGGTGTCCGACAGGTGCAACTTTATGTACTTATTTTCACCACCGACACTCCGGGGGAGGGGGGGGGGGTGTTCTGACTCTCTGTCTTTGGAAGCAGTCCCTGTTAACTGTTCCAAATGCCAAACTTTTCATGTACTTCATTTAAACTTCAGAATATTTGGCTTTTGCAACTTTGGAAAGCTAGTAAGGAAAGAGTGAAATGTTGTCTGAGATCATCTTACGTCAACTGTGATCATCTAACATTTTCTATGATCATCTTACTTTATCTGGAATCATCTGATATTGTTTGTGATCATCTTATTACATCATCTGAAATCATTGTCTGTGATCATCTCACCTCATCTGCGATCATCTAACATTTGTCTATGACCATCTTACTTCATTTGGAATCATCTGATATTGTTTATTGTCTTACCTTGTCTGGGATCATTGTGACCAGTGGCTCCAGTCTGAGATGGACATGCCACAGACATCCCAGCCGGGCATCAATCACCGTGTTGGGTTGGAACACCACCCAGTTGGGTGAGTCTTGGTATCGGTTGCAACGTTAAGGAACAAACTGCAGCACAACCAAACCAATAACAATAACACTGCTTATGGAGCACTCTTAACCACCTAAAAACACTTCCTGGCCAGAACCCCAAACAATTATGTAAGGATACACAAATCAATGTTGACCTCGCGCATTTCTAGTCCCGTCTGCGTAGGTATCCCAGCAACCCTCAGCTTGATAGGCCAGATGGACTGGGTAGTGGTAGTTGACGTTGGGCTAGATGCAAAATGGTGCCACATTTGATGCTAAATTCGATCTGAAGATATCTCAAGAAATTGCTATTTTTGAGGTAATGATTTTAACAACGCGCAGAATTTTGCAGAGGATAGGGGGGCACCAGCATTTGATGGGGGGGCACTCGGGGGGCACTAGGTTTTCCAGGGAGGGCACGTGCCCCCCCCCTGCCCCCCCCCCCCCCTTGGCGACGCCACTGCTGACCACGCCCTCCCCCGTCACCATTATATCCAGTTGGGTTGCTTAAAATTAAGTTGCTATAAAATCCTAACAAAGGTATCACAAAGAATGAAAAATTGATGAGAGTAGTTGGTCCTTTACCTACAACACCAATAATTAATTTATTCGACATACTGGATTTGATAAAGCAACACGGTACAGATTCATCGTTCTGCAAACCTATGTAATATCGAACGAATGCCAGCGATCGAACGCATGCCAGCGATTTGAAATTTTCAAAAAAAAAATGTGATTTGTACATATCGAACAACTTGAGAAATTCTGATTCCCTCCGAAACCTATGAAATTCAGTTTTTAAAAACATAGGGGCAGCCACAATTGAAAGGACTGTTTCATGACACACGTAAGTAATTTCGAATTACTTTTTTGGTCAGTGAAGAAAATGACGACAGTAATAATTTAAGATATATTAAATCAGCGATAACATTGATCTTATATTTTTGTTGCTGTTTTGACAAATACAAACATTGCTAAAACTAGCACTACTTACGAATGTACAATGCATTAGCGTTTCAAATTGTTATGCAGTCTGTGAACAAAATCAAACATTTTTTCATCAGTTCAAAATGTTTTTAATCTAATCCTTTTCTTGTTCGCAAAAGAGCAAAACATTCATCTTTTTTACTTCAAAGTACATCCAAAGCTTTTGTTTCTCTTCAGAACGAAAGAAAATGAAATAGTTGCCACGTGATCTAAATATTAAGGACAAGTGTCTCGCGAATGTTTCATCATCTAAGGCCAAATCCGAATTCACAAGTTCGTAGAGTGCATCTCTGAAATTGTTCTATTATTGTAATGACTAGTCAGAGCACAATTCTTCTCCGTACATAGTACAGAAATAATCAGTCTTCTGAAACTTGTCCTTATCTTCGGCGCTTGTGCTGTTGTTCAGCTGGCATATTTTCTTCCCGTCTTCGGTTTTCTTGATGTTGAAAGAGCCGCATCGGGGTTCTTGGGCGCAGGCCAAGCCACAAGCGACCACGCCCTGGGTGATAAACTCCCGGATGTTGTGGTCGAGGAGGCAGGTTGAGTTGAGAATGCGGCCGTGGGTGTCGGTAGAGACGCAGTATTGACGGGGTTGGGTTGTGAGATGAATGCAGTGGTTACCAGTGCAGTGAGCCTTGCGAACACAATTAGCCCAGTAAGGGCTACCACAGGAACCATCACCCATCTTGTCATGATTTGCGCCTACGAAAGCACAATCTTGTTCGCCTTTGAAACCATTTGGTTGCCCATCACCCCATACCAAGAAGGGCTCGCCTCCTTCCTGACCGTCACACTCCCAAGCTCCTTCAACTTCTCTGTCATTGCAAGCAATCCAGGCCTTGTATTGACTGTCCACCTTTCGTGCCAGTTCTGCCAGAAACTTCAGTTCCTGGAGCGAGCGAGGAGCGGCCATCTTGCCTCCCATGTCTTGGCAAGCTGTCTTGGCGTCATCCCAAGTGTGTTTTGAAGGAGTGAGGCGATAACACCCGTTCCCCCACAATTGCCACTCTGGCGGGCAAGAGCATCTGACAGGGGACCGAGACGGGCAGAAATCTGACTCAGAGAGAGCCCTCATCGATAAAATGCCAACCACAATGCCAAAAAATTTGGACATGAACGCCATGATGAGCGGACAATTCAAAACGTTCGCTTTTCAGTCACTCAAGTTTACAAAGTGTCAATATTTCTGCGACCGGACTTGGCTGTGAAACGGCGAGAATCACTGGCTGGCTCGAAATGACAACGCCGCGCTGTGGAACAGCAATATGAGCAACGTGTCACACTCGTCAACAGTGTTTCAGTGCGTTACCATGGCTACAGTTATCATCGTTGCCATAGCCACACCAAATACAAACGACGACTGAATTCAATAATACATTTTGCTGGATAGAACATTTTAGGTTGGTTTCCTTTCAACCACATGTTTGCAATGAAATAGGATCAGTAAACAATTCATAACAAGAAATTTTCGGGGATTTCAGGACTTAGCGGCCCTTTAATACGTCTTCATTGTTTAACATCGTACTGAGTGGCAGCGCATACCGATTAACAAAACCTGCACATACACTGAAATATATTCATGACGAACCGTCGAACAATACAAAAAATATTGCATGACAGATACAGCTTGTTACTTAACGAATGACTTGTGATAGTTTGCGATAACTGACGACTGGCATTGACTTCATCATTGATGTATATGTAGAGCTCTCATCTAATTTAAATGATAAACGCCTCGCCGAGCACATACCAAATTACTTACGAAGAGTGGAACCTTGGAGTAATTACATACTTTGCTCGTAATTGCTACTTTATTATCCCACCAATTATTAACTAATTGGATCCCTGTCTATGGCCTTCTGTGTCTTTTTGGTAATCATTAGCACAAACCCTCGGTTTTATTGGTGACAAAATTCCTACACATACCTGTATAACGTGTGACATTATCGGCTGTTGATACGTTATCCGTTGGTTATTACATTATCAGTTGTAACAGACGGTCGTCCCGAAGGCCCATATCATTTTTTCATGTTCGTATCGGGCTCCAGTTCCTCTTTTTTATGGGAAAAGACAGGTCCCGTGTTTGCGAATGAAAATTCACGGATAGCGTTATAATGTAATAACTCCTCCCAAATTGATGCAATTTCAGCTCAGATAACGCCACGGATGGAAAAGTGAAAATAGAAAGTCTAACGTTGCTTGCGGTGCTGGGGCGTCTAGTGAGCTAGTACTGCATGGAAAAACTTTAGTTCGGCAACTGTTTTAAAATCCTTCATTGAAATGCAATGCAACATGACCTACTTGGAATACACATTGATAGTTTTGGGGAATTTGAGCTATTTATCCATTTCTAGATTGTCAATCTACTGTAACTTTGGGAGAAACGATGTTTACGCCGAAAAATACATTCCGAAAAAAAGTCAACGTTCATTGAAAAATAAAACACTCGGGCATTAAAACACTTGGGAAAAATTCTCTAGCAATAACCCGAGAAATACCAGGTGATTTCTCATGATATTTTATATTTTGAAATTTAACTTCATGAGAAATCATCAACTAATATAAAAAAATTGACCGAAACAATAAAGTCTTTACACGCGATAAATACAATCCGAATGAAAGTCAATGTTTCTGGAATAAAAGCAACACATTCCTTTTGCATAGGAAGAAAAACCCGTTTTAATGAATTTGAAGTTCGTCTTTTTTACTATTTTGTTTGGGCATCTTACCCGCACACTTTACCAACTAGAAATCTAGAAATCCACCCGTTCTTAAAATCAAAACTCCACCAGCTAGTGCCAATTTGTCCCCCAAAATCGCGAACAAAATTATAAAAACACATTCTTGAACTAATTCAAAACTCCGCCAGCTACAGCCAATTTGAAGCCCAAATCGCGGGCAAATCAATAAGTCCACATTCTCCATCTCAAAACTCCGCCAGCTAGTGCCAATTTGCCCACCAAATCGCGGACAAAATTCTAAAAATTCATGTTCAACAAACTTCACAAAATAACACATAGGGAAACAACCGACTTCGTTCCGGAAAACGTACTGCCCGCCGCCAAAAAAAAAACAACACTCGATAAATAAAATCTGTTTTGTGTAGCTGCATGCTCTATTCATGGAAGTTACAGACTGCAGACAATTACAGAATTTGCAAATAAATCATCTACCTCCTAGTTTCAAATTATTTTTTTTTTAACGTAAAATAAAGCTACGCATGGATGGCGCTCTTGAAGGCCAGGAAAAGCTATTAAGAAATGAGCTACATTATACTCGCCGAGTGCGAAATTCTTTTTGTGCTGCATGCGCTTAATAAATAATATACAACGAGGCCATGACCATAGCGGTGGAGACGATTAGGATATTGGCATCTAAGGGGCAATTGAGGGTGTGGGAGTAAGGCAGCCTTTACTACATGGGCGCGTGCGCGTTCCTTACACTAACCCCCGGCCGTGATGATGACGTAAATGACGCTGATTGGCTATTCACAGCGTACTGCGCGCTCATTTCGAAGATTGCACGCCGGGCGCGCCCATAATGCGCTCGCGTGCTTTGCACGTAGCGTCACGTACGAAAAAAATTTGTTATTCAAAAGTCGCAATGCCTGAACGATATGGATTATGGCAGCCTCGATTTTCGCTAAAAAAAAACACTGTATCTGTGGTTGTAAAGGCACGAAAGGAGTACGTACATTTAATACAAATCTTTGCTAAATAACGCAACGTCCAAACGTTATGTTTGAAAGGATGGATTCTTCAAAATCACAACTTTTAACATTTAAAGATGGCGTCGGCACGTAAAACGGATCAACTGCAGCCTAATTATAATGTGCCATATTTTGACACATTTAAATTACACAATTCCAGGGGATAAGATCACGCAAGGCATGACGGGAAACAACATGGCGCAGCAAGATCGTACCCATGGGGAACGAGGTTGGGGAGTAAGGGTCTACAGTATCACTAGGAACCAGTCTGGTAACAGTTACACCTGTGGCTTGATTCCTGTAAATGTTTGGGTGTCATTATTGATGACAATTTAACGTGGAGAAATCATTGTCAGAAAGTCCTTACACTTATATCTCGCAAACTTGGCATTCTTAGAAACTAAGATATTTGTCGGAAAACTAAGATATTTGTCCCATTCAATTTATAATACGTTATCCTTACCTCATCTTCAATATTATGGTATGCTTGCCTGGGGAAATACTCATAAAACTTTCCTTGATAAGTTGCTCGTTATTCAGAAGAAATCCTTAAGATTGATTAATGGTTCTAGATTTGCAAAGAAACAGTTTCCCGGTTGAGAGTTGGCTGTGTGGCAGCTTCTTTGATGTACTCCATCCATATTTTTCATGGCGTCATTAGAATGTAGTCATATACTCTATCATTATGGACGAAGTAGATGAAGAGTTGAGTGCACCCAACCGCGAAGCCCAGTGTGCAGAGCACAGCCCCATTAGGCAGTTATTTCTGTGACATTTGGATGAAATTGGGGCCCTAAAAGCACTCTATTTTGCAATGGAGTATAGGCACCGTTTTTCAAAATGGCGATGGGCTTCATATCAGGACTTGTTTGAGGGGTGATCATCTTCGGATGGCAATTTCTCCCAAAAGTTATCAGATTACCCCCAAAAATATTGAAAAGAAAATGACAGATGACGGAATAAGCTTTAATTTGATGTGTGTCTCGAACAACTTGGAAAATTGCGAGTATTTTTTCTGAGTTTCTGAAGTGAAGGCATTTATCATTGGGGTCTATGGCAGTTTATTTACTGGTCTGCACTCTTCACGAGTTCTTTGTCAATATGGCGGCGCGCATGCGCTTTATATGCCACGACAGTGTTTTGTTCAGGGGGCGTGACCTGGGGGATGGGGCAGCGTTTCAAAGGGGTCAACAATGGCGGTCCGGCAACAAATGCTCCCTAATCTGAAAGGGGCCGATAGACCATCATCCAATTACAGCACTTTTTAGCGAAGGGGGGGGGGGTGATTTGGGGTTGGAAGGAGCTAGGACTTAATTTACTCCCATTGGTGGTGCCCTACAGCAAGGCAGCCGCAAACAGAGGGCTTGTTTTCAGGCCAGATATCGAACTCAGAGATTTTCTTTCTCCTAATTTTTTGATGAAATATAAGTTATCCATCCTTCCTCATGTCGCACAAGTGGTTTGGGGGAACTTGTTTTCAAAACTTCGCTTCTTTAAAGGGTGCAGGCCAGTAAATCGGCCCGAAGTTACCACGCCGGCCAAATCACGATTTGCATACCCTCAAATTCTTCAGTATTTGAGCATATTGTGGACCATGAACTTGATGGTTTGTAAAAAATAAGGGTGGTAGCGATGCACAGGACCATGAGCTTGTATTTCTGTAAAATTTGTATAAAATTGGGGCCCTTAAAGCGCTCTATTTTGCAATTGCGAGTAGACTGACACCGTTTTCAAAATGGCGATGGGCTTCAGGACTATTTCAAAATTAAGAAACATCCAGCTTGCCAGCCCCCCCCCCCCCCACGGAAAATGTGGTTCTTGATCCGCCCTTGTCAAAAGAACCGGCCTATTTCATGTGTCCATACACAGCATGGCTTTACAATTCGAGATCCGTGCACGTCGGTTCATGCCATCACGTCACGTGCAGATCACCTGACCACGCCCTCCCCCGTCACCATTATATCTAGTTAGGTTGCTTAAAATTAAGTTGCTATAAAATCCTAACAAAGGTTTCACAAAGAATAAACAATTGATGAGAGTAGTTTGTCCTTTACCTACAATACCAATAATTAATTTATTCGACATGCTGGATTTGATAAAGCAACACAATACAGATTCATCGCTCTGTAAACTAATGTAAAATCGAACGAATTGAATGCGTTCATGTTTTCATGCCAACGATTTTAAATTTAAAAAAAAAATGATTTGTACATATCGCACACTTGAGCCATTCTAATTCGTTTCCAAACCGATAAGATTCAGTTTTCAAAACCATAGAGGGCATAATTGAAAGGACTGTTAATGATACACGTGAGTGATTTTAAGTACCTTTTTTGTATGTAAGAAAAGGACGACCGTTATAATTTCAGAAATCTTAAATCATCCATAAAATTGATCTGATAGTTTTGTTGCTGTTTTGACAATGCAAATATTGCAAAAACTAGAACTACTTGCAAATGTACAATGCATTAGCGATTCAAAATTGTTATATAATCTGTGAAAATGTTTTTGACGATTTTCATCAGTTCAAAACGCTTTCAATCTCATCCTTTTCTTGTTCACAAAAGAGCAAAATATTCATCTTCTTTATTTCAAAGTGCATCCAAAGCTTTTGTTTCTCTTCAGAACGAAAGAAAATGAAATAGTTGCCACGTGATCTAAATATTAAGGACAAATGTCTCGCGAATGTTTCATCATCTAAGACCAAATCCGAATTCACAAGTTCGTAGAGTGCAAATCTCTGAAATTGTTCTATTTTTTATTATGACAGGCCAGAGCACATTTCTTCTGAGAACATAGTACAGAAATAATCAGTCTTCTGAAACTTGTCCTTATCTTCGGATCTTGTGCTGTTGTTCAGCTGGCATATTTTCTTCCCATCTTCGGTTTTCTTGATGTTGAAAGAGCGGCATCCGGGTTCTTGGGCGCAGGCCGAGCCACAGGCGACCACGCTCTGGGTGATAAACTCCCGGATGCTGTGATCAAGGAGGCAGGTTGAATTGAGAACGCGGCCGTGGGTGTCGGTAGAGAGGCAGTATCGACGGGGTTGGGTTAAGAGATGAGTGCAAGCTGCCTGACGAACACAAAAAGCCTTCATCTTAACCCCACAGCCTGTATCATCCATCCTGTCATTAAAATGTGCGGATATATGAACACAATCTTGATTGTCCCCTTTACCATTATCTGGTTGCCCATCAGCCCATACCAATCTAGGCTCGCCTCCTTCCTGACCGTCACACTCCCAAATTCCTTCAACATCTCTGTCATTGCAAGCAATCCAGGCGTAGAAGTTAATGTACACCTTTCGTGCCAGTTCTGCCATAAACTTCAGTTCCTCGAGCGAGCGAGGAGCGGCCATCTTGCCTCCAAGGTCTTGGCAAGCTGTCTTGGCGTCATCCCAATTATACTTTGAGGAAGTGAGGTGATAACACCCGTTCCCCCACAATTGCCACTCTGGCGGGCAAGAACATTTGACAGGGCATCGAGTGGGGCAGAAATCTGACTCAGAGAGAGCCCTCATCGATAAAATGGCAACCTCAATGGCAAACAATCCGGACATAAACGCCATGATGAGCGGACAATTCAAAACGTTCGCTTTTCAGTCACTCAAGTTTACAAAGTGTCAATATTTCTGCGACCGGACTTGGCTGTGAAACGGCGAGAATCACTGGCTGGCTCGAAATGACAACGCCGCGCTGTGGAACAGCAATATGAGCAACGTGTCACACTCGTCAACAGTGTTTCAGTCCGTTACCATGGCTACAGTAATCATCATTGCCATAGCCACACCAAATACAAACAACGACTGAATTCAATAATACATTTTGCTGGATAGAACATTTTAGGTTGGTTTCCTTTCAACCAGATGTTTGCAATGAAATAGGATAAGTAAACAATTCATAACGTGAAATCTTCTGGGATTTCAGGACTTAGTGGCCCTTTAATACGTCTTCATTGTTTAACACCGTACTGAGTGGCAGCGCATACCGACTAGCAACACCTGCACATACACTGAAATATATTCATGACGAATCGTCGAACAATACAAAAAATATAGCATGACAGATACAGCTTGTTACTGAACTGATGACTTGTGATAGTTTGTGATAACTGACGACTGGCATTGACTTCATCATTGATGTATATGTAGAGCTCTCATTTCCAAGAATTCGATCGTTTGAAAATAAAGCATCGTTGTCGTAATTGGCATAGCGCCGATACTTTCCTCACGAGCACTCACTACTAAAGTGGCACTCATTTTGAAATTAAAGCCGTCTGCAAGTAGGGCCTAGTGGTTCAAGTCTTATGCTCACTGCATCTTAAAGAAAAAGTTTATTAGATAATTCTGCTTCTAGAGCTATTTGGCACGAGAGTAACACTCAATGTAGACTTGGTGCCAAGTCGGCAATTGGTCTTACGTACGGTTACTGGCTCCAGATTCTAGGCCGCTACGGAAGATCATTTTAATTACTTCGAGGGTTTGTACTTTGTGTTGTGTAACATTACAAAATTGATTATAGGGCACTTACACAACTCAACTCAACTCACAATTTCTATACACAAATGATCAAGCTGAGTGTATTGGCCATTAGATCTGCAAACATGTCCCTGCATGAAGTATTGAAAAGAACTCCCCATGTAACGGAATGAATGAGTCCTCATTTGCATAGCGGTGCGCGATTGGATCTCACCGCAAAAATGCGCTGCATATGTATTACGCTGCTTTCATATATGAATAACGGTGCGAGAACGTAATCGTCACGTCGTTAGATTTGTCGCAACCCGGCCGATTACGTACTAATACCAGCCTCGCCGATGGAGTTCGACTGAAGTTCACGGACAAAATACGACTATCTAACGACTTGTTATCAAGTCTACACTAATGCAAGGTTGAACAGTTTCCCATGGAAAGGAATTAGCCACCATTTTAAATGATAAACGTCTCGCCGAGCACTTACCAAATTGCTTGACAAAGAGTGGAACCTTTTAGTCAGGCAGCTTAGGCCAGCTTTTGGAATGGATGTGGACATTCCGGACAAAAGCGCCAAATTTTCCACACATGCTCCTTATTGCCTTAGCTTTCAATTTTTGATAGGAACCAACTTATCCCATAACAATATGGCGGCCATCTTGGATTTCAAAGATGGCTGCCATTGAAAACCTATTTTTACCCATATCTCATCTTCTAAGCCACTTAGGATTAAAGTTTTGGTGTCTAAACATACATTTTCAGGGTCAAGGAATGCAACTGTACCATTTTGGATAGTGTCAAATGGTTTGTTTGTCCAGATACAGTATTGTTGCCATCTTATTTTTGAAGATGGCCGCCGGCATTGAAAACTACATGTATTGCATCTTTAAGCCACTTAACATTGAAATCTTAGTGTCTAAACATATATTTTCAGGGTCAAAGAATGCAACTGAACCATTTGGGTAGTGCTAAATGGTTAGTTTGTCCAGATACATTGCGGTGGCCATCTTGGATTTTAAAGATGGCCACCACTGAAAACCTATCTACCAATATCTGTTCTTCTAAGTCACTTACGATTACAATTTTGGCGTCCAAATATACATTTTCAGGGTCAAGGAATGCAACTATATACCATTTATGACAGTGTCAAATGTTCAGTTTGTACACTATTGTGGCCATCTTTGATTTTAAAGTGCCGCTTGAGAACCAGGACAAGCCGATCACAGACTCGCCTTAATCAATTGGAGCTACAAAAGCGGTTCAGCTGCATGTAGTTGTGGAGAGCCAGAGTTGTATCACATCCTGTAGTGCCAGAGATTTCTACTGGCTAGGTTCAAAGATGGCATTGACGCAGTAAACTGGATGGTATTGGGCCGATACCACCTACCTGTAATTATTGGTTTGTTGTGGCAGTTCCATACAGTATAAACGGTACAAGACCAGAAGTGAGCAAATGCTGGCTCGATTGCACCAAAACGGTTCCGTGTTGACGGTACAGACACCACAGAGTCAGAATTGGTCCAGTGCTTGCCCTATTAAGTGGTAACACCGTTCAGAGCCTGCATTGGACCAGTGCTGGTCTTTTTAAGGCTAACAATAACAGCAAGACGGCGCCGGCAGCCTGAACCGGGCAATTGCAGGCCCTCTTACGATAAACCATGATGAAAAGACGGTAAAAGGCCTGAATCGGGCCATTGCTGGTCCCTATATAATGGCAAGACGGTACACAACCTGAATGGGACCGGTGCCGGTCCTTTCAAGTCAAACCATAATGGCAAAAAGGCACATGGCCTGACTCTTGCCAGTGTTGGTCCTTTAACGGCAACAATATGGCCGCCGTATTAAGTATCTGGACAAACTGACCATTGGACACGATCCTAAATACATGAAGTACTAACCAAAGTGGTTGAGTTGAGTTCCATGACCCTGAAAATATATGATAAGACACCAAGATTTAGATCCTTAGTTCGGAGATTTAGGTTTTAAATGTTTCAATGTTTCAAAAACAAGATGGCCACAATACTGTATTTGGACAAACCAACCACTTTGACACTATCCCAAATGGTACAGTTGAAAATGTTGAAAATGTTGAAAAATGTATGTTTAGACACCAAAACTTTAATTCTAAGTGGCTTAGAATGTGAGATATGGCTAAAAATAGGTTTTCAATGACCGCCATCTTTAAAATCCAAGATGGCCGCCATAATGTCGTTGGATAAGTTGGTTCCTATCAAAAATGGAAAGCTAAGGCATTGAGGAGCATGTATGAAATAAATTGGCGCTTTTGTCCGGAATGTCCATATCCATTCACTAAGCTGCCTGACTACTTTGAGTAATTGCATACTTTGCTCGTAATTGCTACTTTATTATCCCACCAATCGTGACATTATCGGCTGTTGATACGTTATCCCTTGGTTATAACATTATCAGTTGTAACAGACGGGCGTCCCGAAGGCCCGTATCGTTGTTTTTTTTTCATAGAGATATGGCTAGAAATAGGTTTGCAATGGCTGCCATCTTTAAAATCCAAGATGGCCGCCATAATGTCGTTGGATAAGTTGGTTCCTATCAAAAATTGAAAGCTAAGGCATTGAGGAGCATGTATGAAAAAAATTGGCGCTTTTGTCCGGAATGACCATATCCATTCACTAAGCTGCCTGACTACTTTGAGTAATTGCATACTTTGCTCGTAATTGCAACTTTATTATCCCACCAATCGTGACATTATCGGCTGTTGATACGTTATCCCTTGGTTATAACATTATCAGTTGTAACAGACGGGCGTCCCGAAGGCCCGTATCGTTTTTTTTTTTTCATAGAGATATGGCTAAAAATAGGTTTGCAATGGCCGCCATCTTTAAAATCCAAGATGGCCGCCATAATGTCGTTGGATAAGTTGGTTCCTATCAAAAATTGAAAGCTAAGGCATTGAGGAGCATGTATGAAAAAAATTGGCGCTTTTGTCCGGAATGACCATATCCATTCACTAAGCTGCCTGACTACTTTGAGTAATTGCATACTTTGCTCGTAATTGCTACTTTATTATCCCAACAATCGTGACATTATCGGCTGTTGATACGTTATCCGTTGGTTATTACATTATCAGTTGTAACAGACGGTCGTCTAGAAGGCCCGTATCGTTTTTTCACGTAAACGAGTCGGGGAACAGTGTACAACCGCCGAGAAATGTCTGCATGGAGAAGCCTTTTTTCATGTTTGTATCGGACTCCAGTTCCTCTTTTTTATGGGAAAAGACAGGTCCCGTGTTTGCGAATGACCATTCACGGATAGCGTTATAATGTAATAATTCCTCTCAAATAGATTCAATTTCAGCTCGGAAAACGCCACGGATGAACGGTGAAAATAGAAAGTCTGACATTAATTGCGATGCTGGGGCGTCTAGTGAGTACTGCATGGAAAAACAGTAGTTCGGCAACTGTTTTAAAATCCTTCATTGAAATGCAATACAATATGACCAACTTGGAATACACACTGATAGGTTGGGGGAATTTGAGCTATTTATCCATTTATAGATTGTCAATCTGCTGTAACTTTGGGAGATACGATGTTTACGCCGAAAAATACATTCCGAAAAAAAGTCAACGTTCATTGAAAAATAAAACACTCGGGCATTAAAACATTTGGGGAAAAATTCTCTAGCAATAACCCGAGAAATACCAGGTGATATATTTTATATTTTGAAAATTAATTTCATGAGAAATCATTAACTAATATAAAAAAATTGACCGAAACAATAAAGTCTTTCACACACGACAAATACAATCCGAATGAAAGTCAATGTTTCTGGAATAAAAGCAACACATTCCTTTTGCATAGGAAGAAATACCCGTTTTAATGAATTTGAAGTTCGTCCGTTTTACATTTTTGTTTGGGCATCTTACTCGCACACTTTTGCCAACTAGAAATCTAGAATTCCACCCATTTTCCGAATCATAACTCCGCCAGCCAGTGCCAATTTGTGCCCCAAAATCGCGGACAAAATTATAAAAACACATTTTTGAACTAATTCAAAACTCCGCCAGCTACTGCCAATTTGAACCCCAAATCACGGGCAAATCAATAAGTCCACATTCTCCAACTCAAAACTCCGCCACCTAGTGCCAATTTGCCCACCAAATCGCAGACAGAATTCTAAAAATTCATGTTCAACAAAATTCACAAAATAACACATAGGGAAACAACCGACTACGTTCCGGAAAACAAGCTCACTGCCCTAAAAGAAAAAAACACACGATAAACAGGATCTGTTTTGTGAAGCTGCGTACTCTATTCATAGAAGCCACAGGACTGCAGTCAATTACAGAATTTGCCAATAAATCATCTACCTCCTGGTTAAAAATTTTTCTTTGGCAACTGTACACAGATCGTTGTCATGGTAACTACGGTAACTACAAATTTGATGAAAATGTAAAGCTACGCAGGATGGCGCTTGTGAAGGCCAGAAATAATAGGCAACTCAGGAAAAGCTATTAAGAAATGAGCTGCATTATACTCGCCGAGTACGAAATTCTTTTTTTGTGATGCAGCGTTTAATAAATACCACGAGACAATGACCATAGCGGTGAAGACAATTGGGATATTAGCATCTTAGGGGCAATTGAGGGTGTGGGAGGATGGGTCTACACTCGAAACCAGTCTGGTAACAGTTAACATGATGTTGCCTAAACGTCTCATCATTGGCTTGATAAGCCTTTGTCCTATGATCATAAAAAATAAAAGAAAAACCAGCAACAAAAACAAATCAACACTCTCTCGGTAAATTAGCGTTACTAAAACAGAGCGCAAAAAAGGAGTGTATAAACAAACAAACAGACAGAGGGACTTCATTACGGGGAACCACAAGCAGTCATTCAGATCCGAGAGCAAGAGGGCGCAAACAGAGCTAAGTAAACATATATGGGACTTAAAGGACGAAGGGAAAGACTATGAAATCAAATGGGACATAGTTCTGAAAGCACTGCCATACTCTAACGTAAACAAGAGATGCAATTTGTGTATAGCAGAGAAGTACATAATCATATGTAGGCCAGATCTAGGTACACTGAATAAGAGCAGCGAAATCGTCTCCAAGTGCAGGCATCGAGACAGATGTGTTCTTACTTCAGTGACGTAAACGCGTACTAACTTCAATGACGTAACGCGCGTAACGCGTGCGCGCGCTTGATTCGAAATAAGGTAAGATGCTACTTGTATTCTATTTTTCGTCATTCTGCTGATGAGTGCCTTATGGTACGAAACAGTCTGTTCAGAAAGAGAATATTCTGAATTTATTGCATGTTTATAAAATATATATATATATATGTATAAAATACAAAACAAATATATATACCTAAAAAAAGCATTAGTCAGATTTGACTAGAAACCAGTCAATTTTGACTAGCCATTCAGGGTCGGCTGTGTGCAACTGAAAATTAGTCAATCTGACTAGATTCTTCCAGTCAGTATTATTGACTTTGGAAAAATAGTTATGCAAGTAACTGAAATTGGAGTCGAACCCAACTATTATTTCCAGTCAAAGTATGAAACTTTGCATGTTTAACTAAATTCCTAGTCAATTTTCAATTACTAGGAAAACCAGTCAATATTTTGACTAAGTTGTTTTACTGTTTCTATTTTTCTTTCAATATTTAATGTTAAAATCAATTCATAAACAGCTGACAGACGGAAACAAAAAGGATACAATTTAGATATTAAAGGTAGGGTAGATCATTATTTCATTAAAATGAAAACTGTTGATTCTTCTATTGCCTCTCTGGTGTGGTTTGCTAAAACGTTCTGTAAGAAAAAGTATGACAAATGCTTGAGTTTGTGTGCAAACCATAATGATAGAAGAACTGTTGGGAAGGGATTTTTGGTCAAATATCTGGACAATTTCTACGGCTTAATTTTGCTTCATAATTACGGAATAAAAACTCATGCTTCAGTTTGCAGGATTGAGCTTGATATACCTTCGCCAGTTACCACCAAAAACTGCAGAATATTTTAGTAGTCATGGCTGGGCGGAAGGCTAAACATAAAGTCGAAATGATGAAACGTTCATATGTCAAATAACAAGGAAGCGAGGAATGCTCCGTGGTAGCAGAAACAAAGTAGGGAATCAGAATAGAACTCTTTAAAACACTTCAAGAGAACGATTGATATGTTTATCGTACAATTTCATAAACACTTATAGTACTGTTTAGAGGTCTTTACTTGTGAAGTTTAATGTGGGTCAAGATCGTAAACTTAATATCAAGTTTAATTCAAACCGGGTCAAAAATGTGGCTCCTTCGTGTCGATATCAATTATTTTAATATTAATTCTAGATGCATCAACTTTTATCAGTCTCGTGCGAAGGCAAAATGTACATATTTATTCACGTGTACAGATAGTCAATAAAATAATGAGTGCTCAATTTGCATTACGTTTTTATTTAGTAGTAAAAATTAACAGCCGTTGTGGTACTGTTCGGATCTGTCAAAATAACAAAAATATTGGAAATGCCACACAGATTGCCAAGTGCAAGAAAACAAAGTGGAATTTTGACAGAGGCCAATGTTCAAAAGTGCTGGACTTTTCGATCCGAGTGGTAACGTCCATACGGGGATTCAAGCTCATCTCCACAGAGATTGGGGCCTGTGCAACCACCCCCTCCCCAACCCCCGTGACTTCTGCCTCCCGGCTCAGAAATTTCGGGACGGCAAAAACTAGCTATTGCCCCCTTCAGAAAATTAGACCCTCCCCACACAAACACATCGGTTACACCGCTATTACCAACCTAATGTTGGTGTTTTCCCAACTTGTCTTTTTTTAAAGGTTGGGAGTTGGGAGTTGACCGGCATAAAGTCTGAATGACAAAAATCTACTAAAACCTTTTCAGCCTTAAAGTAATAATCAGCATAATGCATGTTCATATACTGTGCACAAAACCGCAGCAGTATCAAAACGCAAAGGCAAACTCAGGATAAGGCGCCCTCTAGCGGTCAAAGCTTCACTCACTATGCACCAATTATTTCGGCGTATGAATTTTCCAAAAGATTTTTTTTTTTCACTCGGACATGAGTTTAAAACATAACTGTGATATGATGAGGAACATTTGTTGGAATTTTACTCCTCAAAGCATACCTCTAAAAACTTGATTTAATCATTAAAAATATATTTCACATTTGGGCCACACCACTGTGTGTTGGCTTGTAAATACATAGGCTTTCATATCCTAGATTTTGAAAGTGCTACATGCAGAACTTCACCAAAACAGTGGTCCCATCATTTGGGTTACGTTTCTTTTACCCACCCTGTTTTGCATGTACTTTGAATGTACATGTATAACAATTATTCATGAGCTGGGCACGGTTGTACCCATACACAGAGTGTATCAAGGTTATACTGACGTCAGCTTACCTGTTATTAAAAATTCAAGGAATAGTTACATTTTTTTTTACACCCCTTTACTTTTTGCTCAACATAATATTGCTAATTGCGCACAATCCTGTCACCAATAAGTACAATAGTTAACCTGCAGGACCGGACAAGCCCTACATCAACGGATGGATGTATTAAGCATTAATTCCCATTTTTTGTAAGATAGTTGATGACAACAATTGGCTCATTTTCTTATTCTGGGAGTCTGATACTAAACGTTTTGCATTTGCTGTCATTTTTAGTTCATGTTACCGGATCCACGAGGTCTTAGGAACATTTTTCCAGTTTCAAATTTGTCATCTACGTATCCTGCGTGCGGGTTCAACCGGCCGGGTGTGTACTCACTGTTTTCATGGTGAACCCCAAACAGTGTTAGTCCCTAATGCGGGGCCAGGTTAGTACAGTACGTGCAAGTACCCAAGGACAGCGATTGCTGTTACTGTTATTGATGAATACGTTTAGTTTAACAATATTGCTTGTGGCCGTGAATGCTCAAGCGCACAGACAGAGGACTGTCGCGTTTGCATTGGCGAAACCACAGTGTTCATTGGGCCGTTAATTTCAACAGCGCGGGCCAGCATAATAGGCACGGTGTCACGGACTTGACCTCTGAGTGCATGACTATTTCAGCGAATTCAAAGAATTAATACGGAAGTACACATATCGGCAAACGATATTTAGCCGGCTGACTTGGATCATAACTGAGCCCTGATACATTTTTACCACACGCGTTTTCTTCCACGCGGAGTTCAGTCAACACACAACAAGTACAGTTGATGAGACAGGATTTATGGATGGGAGACCGATACCTTTGGTATGGCACGCCGGTCCGGAATTGACAAGTACTGCGCGCCGATCGCAATCGCCCTCTGCGTGGTCCGTGGGACCGCTGGGACACTGGTCACCCAAGACGATCTTCACAGTAGTGACCGCGTTTGTGGTCGCTACGACCACGTTTGCATTTTACTTCGTGAATGATAGTGTCGCCGTGGATTTTTCAACAACAGGTACTAAGCAGGTTATTTTCACACTTAAAATTCACGCCCCGAAAAAGATTGTTCTAATGTTCAATACATGTAGCTTTTTCCGGAACGTCTGTTTCATCCTACGCCATATGATGTCACTGAAGATCAGTCGGTAAGGCGCAGAATATGTTGAAAATACATCAATCTTGGACAAGCCGGCAATAGTGGATTCGTTATGCTTTGTAAGAGTACAGTACATGTACTTTGGAAACGTACAATCTGAAAAGTGGAAAAGATATGGAACCTGCTGACGGGGGGAGCTGTGGTGAACCACTGCGTATACCATACGTACAGGGCGAGGGGGGTCTTATAAAAGTCGGCATATCGTGCGTACGTACATGGACGGTCCCTTGTCATTTTTATGTTCTGCGGTATATTTCCTTCATTTAGTTAATTGCTGCAACATTTAGTATTCGCATAACATAAATACTTTGTCAGGTTGTTTGAATTCATATTCATTGACAAGACACATCCATCTGTGGTTGTAATTCCAGTTGTCTGGGCTTTTAACTATCGTAATGTATCTGCCCCTGCACTGGACAAGCCCTTGGCGGCCATCAATCTGCCTCGAGCCAAGACTACAACGTCGGGCAACGACACAGGAGGGTACTGTCCTCCGCTAAAGAACATCTCAAATCTCAGTAAGTGACCACGCCCCCCCCCCAATAAATGCGGCAGAGCTATTAAATCAAAAATAATAGTACTTTGAATTTAAAAAGAAATGGGTATGAGGTGTTGTTGGGATACAGAAAATAATTAGGGATTTATGTTTCTCATTGATAATATTTGTTTTCCTTTTTCCTTTTTTTTTAAATAAAAAAGAGGAAAAAATTTGAGTACTGCTACAATAATGATGAAAACTTTACAGTGGGTAACGTGGTAGCTTACCAAAGTGTTGGGCCAAATATTAACAGTGATTGTTAGCAGTGTCCGATGTGCAATTTTAAAGTTCCAATTTTTCAAGTTTACTTTACACTATTATTACTCAAAAACTGGACACGACGTCACGTTGAGGCAATAAGAAGAAGCTTGTACAGTACCTCTTTCCCCCACACAAAACAAAACAAGCAGCCAAGTTATGAATTAATTGAGTAACTTAATTACAAACAAGAGCTCTTTCGGTGTGTACACCGAAACAGCTAATTACAAAAATTAATCATTTACAATGGCTTAAATGAATTATTACTGCCTTATTAGCTATCAACAAGTTGTAATCGGGTTATTTGGCTATATGGTGAGTGTTTGAATATTTTTTTTACAGCATGACCTCAGAAAGTTCCAATCACGTAAAGTCTGTCACGAGCCAACGTTGCCCATCAGGCCGGCGTTTATCTCCGGTTTCAGTAGCATGAAAAGACTGAGAATATGTCATGCTAGTAAATCACAGGTATCCCCAGCTAATGCCGGTACCCATTTATACTCCTGGGTGGAGAGAGGCAAGTGGGAGTAAAGTGGCTTGCCCAAGGACACAACAAATGTTCAGCAGTTGGATTCGAACTCTGACCCTCTGATCATGAGTCACAAACCCCAACCACAAGAGCACACTCCTCAAATCCACTCATGTTCCACAGTAACCTCTAACGATTCTTGTATATCGATTTCACATGCTCCTCTCAAGACAAAAGTAATGTGCTGCACCTTGAAGAAACATCGATGGACACAACAGAGTCTCTTGTCTTTGGAGATATGAAGGACAAGATTCTACACCTTGTGGAAGGGGGCAACCGACACTTGAGGGCGCCCTCGCTACAAACGACCTCCACGTCTAGCTACGATGGGCTCCTGGATAGTCTTATCCCGCTGGGGGCCACCGTGGGCAACTACTCCTACTTACCAGGAGGACACTGGAGGCCAAGACACTGCACGCCAAGATGGAAGGTAGTCAATGAACCCATGTAGGCAGATACGATCATTTGCATAAGATCATGAAGAAGAAAATGGTCGACACAATGGCTTAACTAAGAGGAATGAAGACACCCCGATCGAGGCTTGCGCCCCGGTTCTTGTTCCCCTTTCCCCGCTCAGAATTTGAGGGGAGGCTATAAGGTGATAATATTCTATTGTTAAAACCCTAGTGCCCAATCCTGAAAAGGAGGTGCTTCCCTTCATGCCTCTTTCTTTCCGGCAAATTGGAGCCAAGATATATACGCCATTGGGCCGACCCCCTGCAATGTTGACTCCCTGCAATGTTGACGGGCTAAAGATGCTCGTCGGATAAGGAACTCTCGGTTTCTTTTCTCCACCCAGGTTGCTATCATCATTCCTTACAGACATCGGGAGTATCACTTGCCGATACTTTTGCGACATCTCGTTCCGATGCTTAAGAGACAACTCCTTCAGTTCGCTATCTACGTCGTAAACCAGGTAGGTTGATCGTGAACACCATAATTATTCTCTCTGATAATGAGACCAGCTTTTCAACGTCCACTTTTAAACACATTTGGAGCCCAAAGGAACGTAGATGATAATATTGTACAATTACTGTTTGAAGACCGTAAACAAGATTTTACAACATTAAAGTGGGATATCAAACTTACAACCATTATATATATACAACCATTTAGAAATGTTGTCAGCACCAAAAAATGCCTGCCGGATTGATCGCAACTTACATTGGGTTAAAACAAAATTATTGTGCGCAAAATAACTAAGAAATGTCAGCTGTATTTGAACAATTAATCCCTGTTGAGACAAGATAAGTTTCCGGTAGCACCATGTGAATAAATCTCTTTTCCGAGTATGTGTGGTTCTCGGAAAAGAACCGGGGGGACTCAACGTTTCGAACAGTATGCTCTGCCCGTCGTCAGGAGAGTGAGGGATTCCAACGAAGATGCAATGTTATAATCCCTGTTGGTTTGTGTTAAGTTTAAGACAAAGATGCCTAATATATGCACGGCTGAGCCGAATCTCAATATCCTGTATCGAAACTTGAGATCATCAAGTTCCAAATTTCGCTACCACATTTCGAGATCTGGTATGTGCGATCCTATAACTTCATTCCAACACGGTCTCCGAACGATAAACCATTCATTCAAGAGCATTACCACTGAACCAGCCCGACTTTCTCTTGTTCCCAAACAGGAAAATGATCTGCCTTTCAACCGCGCTACGTTGATGAACGTAGGCTTCCTAGAGTCTCTGAATTTCTCCAAGTGGGACTGTTTTGTCCTGCACGACGTGGACCACGTGCCACTGAGTGATCTGAATAACTACGGGTGTACAAACATGCCAAAGCGAATGTTGTCTGGATCGGACAGATGGAACAACAAGTAAGGCGGTTAATTTGGATTTATATCTGCTCTGGGATACACATTTCATGTGAAATTGAATTAGATTCATGATGGGCCAAGAAGCTGCAAGCTAATCGGCCATGCCTTCTGACATTGAGCCCAGCAGGGGCGTTAAAATAATACACGGGTTCTTATGTAGCGCTTTTAAAGATTTACGCGCTTTACATCATATTACCTCTGATCATTGGGCCAATTAAACACACCAAATATCATCTCAGCTCGCCCTGGGGAGTATACAGCTTGATGCTGCCACTTCGGCGCAAGTCAGCTACAATCAATCACAATGACCATCTCTGCCCTCACAGGTACCCATTCACTCCTGGGTGGGGAGAAGCAATGAGTGACAAAAGTGCCTTGCCCAAGGGTACAACGCACTATCCCCAGGCTGGACCAATAACCTGCAGGATTACCCGCAGACCATGAATACAATGCCCCACACCACAAGCCCCCGGCACTCACACGAAACTGGGGCCATTGTAAAGGAGCACATAGGGCTCTCTCCCATGTCCCCGACCCCTTAGCTACGTCGTTAGACCACACCTCCCACATAATCGTTTGGCTATGTCACAACTTAACCAGTTTCGTTTTTACCAATCTACATGTATATGAGTGGCACTCGTTGCAAAACAAACGAGCAACAAAGAAAATGATTATTAATACACCGTACAACCATAGGCACTGGAAAACCAAGGGCCTGTTTGTTTCATTCCAGAGCCTGATCGAGATCATGACATAATCCAGCGCCGTGAGAAAACAAACAGCTGGACCACTCTCGCGCGTCTAATCCTTTAGGGCGCACATGTAGTCTGCTTCAGATTTTGTAAGCAGAAGGGCTATCGTTATGATAAGCCATCTATAATTTCCAGAAAAAGTGAACCAATACCTTACTTTGTTTAATCATTAAACTACATTCTAAAAGAATCATGAAGAAATATTGTCAAAAAAGCTAAATAATATTGATGCTTCAAAATCTACTTAAAAAAACTCACTTTTTCTCTCCGTCCGTCGTGCACGGCGTCATCTTTGATCTTGCGCGCGAATCCACCTCCTGTCGGACCACTGATCACGATCCAGATCTGCGCGAAACAAACAGGAAAACAGGCGTAAATGCTCCATTTAAGCACAAAAGTTTGTCAACCACGTACGGTTGAAATGTAGATGTAAATCGCTTATGATACACTCGCATGCGTTCTTTGTTTTGAGCAAAAGGAACCAATGACATAGCCTAGACATGCGGTACAATAGCAGCACTGATTGTTTTATTTGTCCACGTGCAGGATACCTTACCGTACTTTCTTTGGAGCTGTCACTGGTATGACGAGGGAGAATATACGGACCATCAACGGCTTCCCCAATGTATACTGGGGCTGGGGAGGCGAAGACGATGAGATTTGGAGACGAGTGAGGGCGCACCATATTCGCATAATTAAAACAAAAGGCCCGACTCACTTCTACAAGGTCATTGCACATCACCATGACAGCGCTCCGAAAAATAAAGATAGGTAGGACTAAATGTCGAAGACAATTGTAGTAAAAGTAAAACATAAAGTCTGTCACGAGCCAATGAGACCGGTGTTAGCTCCGGTTTCAGGAAGCATGAAATGACTGAGAATACATGTATTTCTATTCCCCCTGGATGGGATGCCAGTCCATCGCAGGTTACCCGCCAGCTAATGCGGTTACCCATTTGTACTCCTGGGTGGATAGAGGCAAGTGGGGGTTAAGTGGCTTGCCCAAGGACACAACATGGGGTTAAGTGGCTTGCCCAAGGACACAACATATGGCCAGCAGCTGGATTCGAACCCCTGACCTTCTGATCATGAGACACGAACCCTAACCACTAGGCCACACTCCCCCAAAGATAATTGGAAAGACAATTTTGCAGCCCCACCCCCTTATAAAAGAGAGAAAATGGACAAACATGTACACGAAAGAAAACAACTCAGACGCGCGAGGGCGCTGTAGTTGTCATTTTATGTTACGGAGAGAAGTGAATGAGTTTCACTACTCAGCAGTAATAATCACCATATAGTTGCATTAATTGCTGGCAAATATCAACTCGTACCCCGCTTACCGACAAAGACGGAATATTTTTTTTTGGGGGGGGGGGGGGAACAGACTGCATTCTTATTGGTTCTCCAAGTATTGTTTTCATGTTGTCTAAGCGCGAGAACCGATAACCCTACACAAATAATAATGTCGGAATTAGAAGCCGTACGCATTATTGTTATGCGTTAAGGCAGCGGCAGAGATTAATAAAACCTTGGTGCATTCATTGTTACTAAATTAAACACACAAAGAAAACTCACTGAGATGCAGAGGTCCATGTGATGTCGCATTGAAAAGCTCGTAACTTATCTAATATGCTAAAAGGATTCAATTTTAAACATTTCAGAGAGTCATACCAAAAGCACGGACATAATTGCGAATCCTCCTATGCAAACATACATTCTGTGCCAAGTTGTCCTTTCAGTCAAAATCAATCAAGTGACTGTCTTCAATAGTATAAGAGCTTCCAACCTACAGTAAACAGGATTTACTGGTTATGATACAGCTATGCTTTGACTGTAGGTGATTGATAAGCCAGCTGTGCCTACCACTTGCCTGCTTTTGTCTGTTGACTTAATTTTACTAGTCATAGTGCCCGCTTGAAATATGATCTGACTGTTGATGACTAGCCTATGTAGATGGCATGGCAGGGAACATAATTGCTTATTTGACTGTAGTTGACTGTTCTGATAGCAGAAGGTTTATTTTTAAAGTTACGACTTTTGCGTTGTGTTTAATTGAAATCTACCATTAGCGCTCACCTTTTTTTTTTTTTTTTTACAGAAAGAAGCTCCTTCGTACGTTCAAATCACGCTTCAACCACGACGGGTTAAACAACATAAAGTACGCTCGACTACGCATAGAACTCCATGCTCTCTACACAAATATATCGGTTGACATCCAAAAACTTTGAGCATAATGTCTATCCACTGTGCTGCAACTAATTTAATACATTGTTTCAAGAAACCAATGATGTAATGTAAGGACAATATTACATGTCATAAATAAATATGGTATGTTAGGTGCCGATTTCAGGAAAAAAGTCTCTGCGCATTTTGTAAAGGCTTTATTCGAAAGAAAATAATGCAGCTGCACAGCCAGTCTTCAAACGGCACTACTTCGGTTCCAGATATTCAAAAGCTCTGTGAATACAGCACTATAGTACAGTAGTGATTGGCTGGTCGGCAAGCCGCTATCCAATCACAGTCTTTGTTATATCATGGATTGGCTGGCTTCCCGAGTGCAATAAATTAGGAACTCAACAAGTTCAGTAGTCAACTTCGAACAAAGGCAGAAGAGCGTGACGGGAAATGCTGGTTCAATGATAGATAGCCTACATACCTTCCATACCGTTGTCTCCATACACTCCAGCTAGGAAAACAAAGATGGAAAAAGGGAAGGCCCACCATGGAGTGAAATAAGGAAAACAGCCGTCCCGCGCTTCATACTTTGCTCTGACGTACTTTGGGAGCAGGGCGCCCTCCAGAGGAGAAAAGAGCAGTCACACGTAATCGCGCAGCGGTATCCGCTCCGTTCGCAAGTCACCGGCAAAGAGAGTACTACAGTTGGGGGTGACCGACCGACGCCATCTTGCCTGACTGCAATTCATTTGCTGCGAAGCGCGGCCACTGCGTGTACATAAATAGTACAAATCCCCTGGTGTACGTGCATCACACACAAGGAACAGTGCGCGTCAACCAGCGAAATGTCCAGCCCATGGGACGTCGTTGCTAGGTAAAAGGGCGCCCTCTTTGTCGGCGCACGAAGCCCATTGGCCGATTTTTTTCGCCAGCGGGAGTTGGGCGGACAGCAACCTTATCTCACCACTGGATAAATCGTGCTGGACCATCAAAATGATAGACACTGCTCTATTTCAGATGTTGAACTGTGACTTTGAACTTTTGACAATGGGAGATGATACTCAAATGATCGAACTACAATTTCTCAAAAGTATTCATGTTTAATGATAAGAAATAAAAGCCATAACGATAATGCATGTCAACATCTGCTCCAATTCACTGTTTGCAGGACACAAAGGCCGTTTTGGCTGTGGTAGTTTCAAAATAATAATTGTGAATGGTTTTTTTTTTTATTAATAAGCCGTATATCCGAAGATAACAATTATGTGCTTCATCATACGCCCGAATGTACGCCCTTCAATAAAGAAGGTACAAATGGTTGCCATAACATTAAAGCTTTGTTCTGATGTCAGTTAAAAAAAATAATTTGGAATCCTCTTTGGTTGTCGTGCTTGATGCCTGCACAAAATTAAATAGCATTGATGATCATGCTGTCGTATGCTCTGGCGATCTTGTTGTTAAATAACATAAACTTAATTTTGTACAGTCATCGATTTGCTCGGATTGAATGGCGGCCTTGGTATTAAAAAAAACATTGATAGCAACTCTAAACGTTATCTGCAGCAATAACATTAAGGGAGTAGCTGACAATTGAGACGGTCTTCACTTCTACACTGAGCTCCGGTGTGGCGACATCTGGAAAAAAAAGATGTTGCCAAAACGTCTCATCATTGGCTTGATAAGCCTTTGTCTTACGATCAGACTTTCGGCGAAATTGGAATGACAAAAGGACCTAGATGAATTATCAAGCACGAGCCCAATAGTCTGCAACTTGTAGGCCCAACATTATGACATGATGAACAAAAGCCACCAAAATTAATGACATGTCGGCAATCCCAATGTTTAAGAACGATAACAGTCTACTTGGTACCAGACTGGTGTACCAGTCATATTTGTAAACTTAAAAAAAGAAGAAATATCTGATGGTTGAATAATTATAGACAATTACTTAACAACTGCATTGTAAGAGGTAGATTCAAAGTAGATTCGAAGCACCTTTTGTTTGATTTCACCGCTTTAAGTTTCTGTCGTCTTAAATTAGACGGATGTTGTTCAATTCTGATTGTATTTGATGTAGCATAATGTTGCTGAATTCCCATTACCTACTGTTCAGTCTTGAATAAAGTCTGGTCTGACAGCCTATTACACTTCAACATCTGAATTAAGACTACGATTCCATCAATCTCTTCGTTACGTCCCTAGGGTAGAAAAAAATCCGGGGAAAATGCGCTTGAACAGAAGAAGCTTGAAAATAATTAGGTCCGTTTTTTAATGTCAGAGTAAGACTGAGATGAAATCTCTTGAAGGACACAGCGCATAGAAATTATGTTGCGTGTTATCAGTTAGTGATTAGCATTTCTCATTGATTGATCCGCCCTTTGAATGGCGGACTGAAAGTCAAAGAAAATATTAGGCAACTCTAAGCGCTATCTGCATCAATTCAAGGGAGAAGCTGATTTGAGACAGTCTTCACTTCTACACTAAACACCAGTGAAAATGATGTCGCCAAAACGTCTCATCTTTGGCTTGATAAGCCTTTGCCTTATGATCAGATGCACTGGTGGTAATGAGAGGTGCTAAACAAAACTGTCAAAAAAAATCCACAGTTATCCTCAAGATTCAAGCATGAATCACACGTACCTCCTGAAAATATTATGGATGCGTTCGAGTAGCTCACCCGGATCGACTCTGGTAACAGCAGACGGGTTAGCCACGAGAGCTGGGTTTTAGTTTGAGATTTACTGCTTTTCAGTCAATTGCACAACTCAAAAAAAGTTGGGCTGGATTAATACAGCCTCTAAAGTCGCAATAAACTCAATAAATAATTACCTTTAGACTTCAAATAAACTTGATTTTTGGGTCCGCTGTCTGGCCGCCATATTTGCCCGTTTCTAGGGATGAACAACGCATGCGTGTGACGTATCTCCACCACTGACTCCGCTCCACGAGCAGGGTCTGTGGTGGCTGACCCAGGTGAGCCCTGAGAATGACGTCAGAGCTAATCGAACGGCACGGGGCTGACCCGTGTCGACCCAGGTGTGCTAATACGAACGCACCCTACATGAAACTGTTAATTGTTCATTTTTCAGGCAATTTTGGTGAAAACAGTGAACTAAATTGTGGTTTGCAAATGCATTTTATAACACGAAAATCTGATGAAATTCTAATGCTTTGACAATGAATTCTGGGTATCATAAGCGATGTTTCGGCATCATTAAAAAAGCTTCATGTTTCGCACCAAGGACTTCACAGTAATCCCTTTATTTGTAAAAATATTTCAAGAATACGCTTTTTGCTGTATCATATACACGTGGGCTTTACAATAAAGAAGGTACGAACGGTAACCATGACAACGAAGCTTGCTTCTGGTGAAGGTAAATGGTGAATACATAGATTTGGAATTTTCTTTGATGTCGTCTTTGATGCGTGCACCAAATTATATAATATCCCGAGTGATGGCAAGCCAGTGTGTATTTGGCACCACTTGGCACCAACTTGGGGCCATGTGACTAATTTGCATTCAGGGAAGGTAGATATGAAAGTCGGGCAATCCTTACTGTTTGATGCTGTACACGATTCTGAATTCCCGTCAACTACATGTTATGTTTCAGTATTTAATAAAGTTTGGTCTGACAGCCTGTTTTCACTTTGTCAATCTCTTCATTGTGTTCTTGTGGTAGAAAAAAATCCAGGGGAAAAAAAAAGCACGATTAAATACTAGAAGCGTCATCGTGTTGGGTCCATTTTTTTCACAATTGGACGAAATCTCTTTTATTACTGGCACGTCGCATTTAGGCCAACGTTGCGTGCCATCAATGAGTGATTAGTTTAATACTGTGCCTATATCAGTGATCGTTCTAAACGAAGGGCGAGCTTTGTATTAAAATAAACTATATATAGCAACTCTAATCGCTATTTGTAACCAACACTGGCAGCATCTTCATATCTACACTAAGCACCAGTGAGGTAACATCTTGAAATGATGCTGCCTGAGTTGCATGAGGATGAGTTGCATCAAACTAATATGGCTTGACAGTGTTGTAGGTCTCGAGACCGGTCTCGGTCTCGGTCTCGAGACCACTTTTTGCCGGTCTCGGTCTCGGTCTCGGTCTCGGGAGCTGTGGTCTCGGTCTTGGTCTCGGTCCCCTTTGGTCTCGATATTTTGGCTGGTCTCGAGTCGAGACCAGCCAAAAAGTGAGGGGGGGGGCGGATTCCACCCCCGGCCCTTTTAGGGTTAAGTAAAGAATCAGTTTAGGGCAAATGTGACTGCAGTGTGATGCTAATGGACATGTCTCTCTTCACTTCCTAGTGAGTGAGGCATAGTCCAATAACCATTGCTCCTCTTCTTATTTCTCGTTTTTATTGTGGGATAATATGTTGAAACAAGCACTTTATAGCCATCCTCATTGATTCCAAATTCAACTGAGATTTAAATCTTATGAATCAAGACTGAAACATTATTTTTACCGTCAGATTTTGAATTTTGAATATAGGGAACAATTCAACTCTTTTTCCCTAGAAATATTGGTGATTTTTTTCTCGATTTTCCTTTTCAATTTTTCCTTTATTCGTGGAGGCGGGAAAACGATTTTTTTTAAATTATATTTATTAATTGATATTCATCAATTCGTAGACCGTTAAATTGGTATTAGTGGTGGACAGCTGAATTTTGTGATCTCTTTATTAAAATAGACACGACTTGGGAATAGTATGCAAATTACGTGAAATGTTCACAGTTACTACTCAATAACATGTTCTTTATCCCAATTATATTTTTTACAAAATGGAGCGTGCCATTTTTTTTTTATCATACGGTCACTTTCTTTTTGACTCGCCATGTATTCATCTTTTCATCTGTGATAAACACAAATTGAGCTACTGCCATGGTCACACAAAAATAGAGTCTTATTGCCTGTCTCGTCTCCTTCCTAAATGTCAATTGCGTTTGCATGAGTCGAGAAGACTTTTGTTTCATTAATCGCTATTATGCTGTTTACGGCCATCACAATAAGCGATTAGAATATTGGCAATGTCGTACTTGTCACTAAAATACTCAAGTAAATTGCCCGGCAAAGTAGCCGATGCGAGCGATACGCTTGCACGGTACAAAACACAGAGAGGTGTGCGCACTGAGCCATGCATCCTAAAAGTGCATCTCGCCCACCACATTCAGTTTGTTACAGCGCCCTGAATATCGGCCATATTCTCTAAAAGGCTTATGACGATGATGACGGCGGGCAGATGAACAGAAGATAGATCAGGCAAATATGGTTCATTGATCTTCTATAGTATATGTAACGTTATTGACATTAAACAAAAATAAAGTGGCATTACATTTCAGCCTTAGCCAGGCCTTCTTCAGAGGTAAATGACAGAGGAACAAGAAACAAACATGTAAGGGGACACACAAACATGCAGGGTTGGAAGGAGAATCACAAAGAGGGATGGGGGGGGGGGCAGACCAATCCATCTCTCAATTTTTG